TAGACACAATATAATCATGATAAATAGGGTAACCTAGACACAATATAATCATGATAAATAGGGTAACCTAGACACAATATAATCATGATAAATAGGGTAACCTAGACACAATATAATCATGATAAATAGGGTAACCTAGACACAATATAATCATGATAAATAGGGTAACCCTAGACACAATATAATCATGATAAATAGGTAACCCTGGACATAATATAATCATGATAAATAAGGTAAATATTCTAACAGAGATTTAGGCATTAGGTTGTCAGCGAGCCAAAAACTAAAGCAGTTAGTTAAGTTCTGTGTGTTTTTGTGTAAGACTAGTTGGTAATGTTACCTTCATATGATAATTTCTAATCTAGTATAAATGGGTACTTGTAGTCATTTCTTCTTTATGTATGTGTTGTGCATTGTGTTGTACTAGGGTTTCTCTTTATTTTACAGTCCTTTGTTTCTCATGTTCTTCTTCACCTTGTGTGATGATCTAACATGGATGTGACAGAGACTTTGATGCATTTGATCTACGGATGCGGCTTCCAGCTGTAGTTAGCAAATTGTATAAGGCAATAAATTCCAACGGAGGAGTAACATATATTCATTGCACTGCTGGACTTGGAAGAGCTCCTGCCGTTGCAGTATGTCCCTTGATTTCATTGTGTTACTTGTTTATTAATGATAGAATATTTGACCTGAAACGGTGTTTTGGTTAGTTCTGTGCTAAAAGAATTAATTTCCTGTTTAAGAAGTTAAATACACAAAGGGCGGTGAATGTATTCAGTAATCTCTCACAGAATGGTTTCAAAAGGTTTTGACTTAAATATATTGATACAACGAAACACCTATAAACCATTCAATGATGAAAGTTGTTGAAATCTCCCATGTTGAGCCTAGCACGCTTTGTTGCAGTCCATCAATTGGTTGTATGTGTTTGCGTACCTGCAAAGGACTGACAAATTGGTGAGTGAAGTTGTCACTGTTGGCATACAGTGGGTTGGAGTCCAAGTAGTGCTTAGAAAAATTGAACAATCCTCATTGTGTAAGTTGGTTTGGTGGAATTTCAAACAAATCTATAAAGGTTTATTTGGATAAGTTTTTCAAATAGCATTTCTAAGAAATAAAATGAAATGAACTTCTTTACAAGTAAGAAATAAGACAGAATCAAATGAGTTTTTCCATTAGTTAATTTGTAGAAACTCTCTCGTGCTTTTCTAACTTCTTATATTTAACTGTGAATAAGCTAATTCACCTTATAGAGAAACTTATTTCATTTTTTCCTTCTTATTTTTTTCAAAAATGTTTATAAAGAAATTTGTCTAAACAAACAATAATAAGAATTTTGACTTGTGATTAGGCAGTCACAGGTCATAGTTACAGAAACAAACTCTTTTCATGATTAAGGCTATGTGCATCTGACCTTCCCCACTCCAAGATTTCACAATAGTGGGAGCCTTAAGCATCGGGCGACCCTTTTTATTGTCCATTGTTTGTGCTTTGGGCTATTAGAATCGATTGACTTTATATAGCCTGGATCTATGCCATCTGGTTACATTCATTCCTAATTTCATCAAAAGATTGGTATTGAAGAAGCCATTGTTTTTATGAAAAAAGTGAAATGAAATCATAAAATCAATATTCTTTTATTTTGTTGGTAGATATGTCCATGAAATCATTTAAGTCTATCTCGAAGATGGAGATGAAAAAGGTGGACGTGTATGATTTTGTTTTTCTCAAATATTTTGGCATTTCATGTATCATTTATCTGTTTTATAGTTCTCTGTGTGTGTAAGATTATTTACTAACAATTTGTTTTTTGCTCAGACGGCCTACATGTTTTGGGCTCTGGGATATACATTCAAAGAGGCTCATACACTACTTCAGGTGACTTATGCTTAATAAAGTCATGCGGGGTTCTTGTAAAATAATACGCTGAATGTTTTTCAGTACTCATCATATTGCTTTGATTAAACAAAATGGATTTTTCCATTTTGATTTTCTTCTCAATGATTTTTAACAAAAATCTATTTTAGGCTTGGTAAACTTATTAGTGAATTTTGTTCCACTAATTTCCTTGACTGACAAGTAACTCTTTAGTTCATGGCATTTTTTTATTTCTGTACACAGTGATATGATTGTGTAGCAATTACCAATTCGTCAACAGTTAAATCACTAGTTTCTAAATTTTGGTATCTGTGAATTATGGAACTGGGCAGTTTACTTGCAAACAGAATTATTTTCTTACAGCTAGTTTACAAGCATTCTTATTTATTTTATTTTCCTAGGAGTTCTTTTACTCAAAATATATGTCCTATTCTCTAGTTGTGTATGCCTAAAGAAATTAATTTAATGTCATTTTCGTTTTCTGCATGTCATAGAATTTTCATTCTAGCGGTTTCATATTTGAGGTTTATAATTCTTCTGAATCAGTTTTTGGATACATTTGGTGTAAAGAGAGAAATGAGATTGAAATTTGGTCAAGTTTTCTTGTGTCCTTTTTTTTACTCTTTTTTTCTTGCAGAGCAAAAGGGAGTGTTTTCCCAAACTAGATGCCATTAAAAGTGCAACAGCAGACATCGTGAGTCAATTTAATTTTCTATATTTATTGTGATTTAAATCTTGAATGTGAATTTTTTTTTATATTAATATAGGTGTGATCTTCCTGATAAGTCTTTTCTCATTAAAAGCTAACATAATTAAATTAGATGTTTCAAGATGAGAATTTAATTGAAACTGTTCCTCATTTTTATATCTTTTTATTGGTTTCCCTCTTATTTAAAAAATATATATATATATATCACCTTTGAACATTATTTATTTGTGGTACTCAGCTTACAGGCCTTAGTAAGAAACCTGTCACTTTGTCATGGGAAGACAGCAGTTGCTCTAGGGTGGAAATTTCAGGACTTGATATTGGATGGGGGCAGGTGATGATTGAGTCTCATTTTATTTAGATTTAAGAATATTTGTTCCTCTGTTATAGTACGTGTAACGGTCATTAAATTACATGGAGATGTTATATGCACCATCATCCTTAACTGCTTCGGTTACAGCCATCTATCATTTTGTTGTGAAACATATTCACATGCATGATCTCTGGTTTCCTGTCGGGATTTTTATGTTGTATATTCGTAATTCATCATCTTGCTAATACTGTGTGTACTGTACCTTGTAGTTCCTGTTAGTTTGGTAGTTTGGTCCTGGAAGTTCAAAGTTATCTTTAAAATAACTTATGTCTTCTTGCCAAACTGATGTCCTCAACGTACGATACGAAGTCTGATTTCAGATTCGAAGACTTTTTACCTTTAAAGTTATCTGAATCACAGTTTGACTTATGTTTTCAACATATGCTTTTTTTGTACGAATTCATGCAAAATCTTTACTTAATCTTGATCTCTTTTCAGAGAGTACCCCTAAATTTTGATGACAAATCGGGTTTGTGGTATCTCGAGAGGGAATTGCCTGTAAGTGAAATTGCTAAAACTGGTCTGGTATTACTTGCCTGTTCAAAGCTTGGTCTTAATATTGAACGTTTAATAACTTGTCGGCTCAGCCGCTGTGATTAAAACAATAGATTGATGAGAAACAAGTTTATTGTCATATTTACCAGGAAGGACGCTATGAGTACAAGTACATTGTTGATGGGGAATGGACATGCAATAAAGATGAGCTTGTAACTGCTCCCAACAAAGATGGTCATGTCAACAATTTCATTCAAGTAAGTTATAAACTTCAACTAAATAGCTCAGAAAATAAATTTTGCGATTGGTAACTTCTTTGACTCCTAGGAAATTGCTAGAAGCTCAAAGCTAGAATTAGTACATCGTAATCTGCTCAAATAAAAAAATAAAATGCAATGTACCAGAACATTTATGGCTCACAACCATGTTATTGTTTTAGGGTTAAATGTTTTTTTGTAACTCCAAAAATTGACTGTTATTCAAATTGTTACCTTCAAAAAACATTTCAATCTTACTAATAAATTTGTTAAATGTTAGCTATGAAAAACAGTGAAAAAATTTGGAGGGTTTAACCCTTTTTTTTATTTGTCTCTCCACATTTTAGCTCATCACATTATATTTCACCATCTTACTCTGAATTATTAGTCTGTGCACATTCTATTGGACTGATTTCTCATATTCTATCCTCTCCTAATAGATCCTTGATAATAGCAGCAGTGGTCGTGTTTCCCTTCGGGAGAGATTCAGTTCTGATGATCCTGATCTTACACCGGAGGAACGACTGAGAATAAAGGAGTTTCTTGAAGCTTGTCCTGACGAGGATCTGTAACCCATCAATGCACGTCTATGTTTATATGTAAAGTAGTATATGAACGTATACATGTTGTATAATAAAAGGTTGAATATAAACCTTCGATAAGATCTCTGTTGTATCTCTGTTGTAGTAATAAAGTTGGCTTGCCGAGTTTATTGAGTTCCATAGTAATCATAAGTCTATAGTATTATGTAAATGATAGATACTCTGCTATATTAGCACCGTGATTTTCAATGTACCATGAAATAGAATGTGACTTTGATAATGTATAATTTATGAAAAGAGTGTTTTATCCTACACTTCCAACATCACATCCTCCCATCCTGTACCTCCAAAAATTTCATTTTTAACCTTCTAACATTTCATTTTTATTCCTACATCTTCAATTTTTTCAAAAATTTCATTTTTAACTTTAAAAAATATCTTTTCATTTTCTACTTTTCTTATTAAAAACACTTTACACCACCTTAACAATAATTAAATTTAAAATTTAAATATTATTTAATATAAATTTATATTTTAATAAATATTAAAATATGATTTATATTATAATATTAGTTATATTAAAAGTATAAAAATAAAATAAAAATAATAACAATAAATAAAAAATTATATTAAATAAAATATTTAATATATTTAAATATATTAAATTATATTAAAATACTAAAATAAATTAAATAATTATTAAAATTTAAATAAAAGACAAAATTTTAAAAATAATTATTTATTTAAAATCAAATAAAATTATATTAAATAAAATATTTAAATACATTTAAATTATATTAAAATATTAAATTAAATTAAATAATTATTAAAATTTAAATAAAAAATAAATTTCTAAAAACATTGTTGATCGATATCCGTAACATTACTTATCGGATATCTATATCCGATTAACAGATCTTTTCAAAATTTTGTTTTTTTTAACTTTAATAATTATTGAATTTAATTTAATATTTTAACATAATTTAATATATTTAAATATATGATTATAAATTTGTATTTTTATTATTATTAATTTTATTTTTATTATTTTACTTATAAGTTTTTAATACAATTATTATTAAAATATAAATCATGCTTTAATAATTATTAAAATATAAAATTATATTAAATAATATTTAAATTTTAAATTAAATTAAATTATTATTAAGGTGGTGAATAAGAAAGAAAAAAAATAAAAAAAATATTTATTAAAGTTGAAAATGAAAATTTTGAAAAAGTTGGAGGTGTAGGATAAGATGTTAAAAAGTTAAAAAAGTAATTTTTGGAGATGCAGAATGATATCTTGAAAGTGTAGGATGAAACACTCTTACGAAAAATGGTTGAAGACTTAAAAGAAATGTTTGAATTCAAAAGAACATGCTGAAAAATGTGTAATTTGTGTATATTATTTAAATTATTAGGATAAAAGTCTAAAGAGAGAACTTAAGTAATAGAACATTTAAAAAAAAAATTATTCTTCATAAATTCTTTTATGGAATAACTAATTATCGAATTAAAAATAATTTTTTTTAGAAAAGTGTTTCTGAAAATTGATTATTACTATTGGTAATTAATTCATTGAGAAAAATATTTTTTAAAAAAGGTTTTATGCAAATTAATTTTTTAATTTTTTTTGCCTAATTTTCAAAAGAAAGTCTATATATCTTAGCTAAATCTAGTTTTCAAAATAACTTTTCACTCGTAAATTTAGAGTAATACAAAAACTTGCTGTTTATGAAACACTTTTAAACACTTAATGTGAACTTTTAGTAAGTGTGTTTTATGTGATTGAATACTGTTATTGTTGTTAGGAAAATTGTTAATGATTTGTGTGTTAAAGGAGGTGTTATTCATATATTGTGTCTTGACATTTTGAGTGTTTTTTAACCTTAAATATGTCACACGTGAGTGTAAATTTTGGTTATTTTATAATGATTAGTTAATTCATATTTAAAAAGATTAACAACTAGATGTTTTAATATGAACCAGTATAAAATTATTTGTGTCATTTTTTATTTTTTTATCTTTTTTATCTCTATTGTTGTTATTTATAAAAGATCATTTTTTATTATAAAATTAATTCATAGAAATGAAGATTTTTAAAATAAGTAAATCAATTTATTTCCTTTTGATTTTTATCACAAGCAAATATTTGCTATGGAATTCTAACACAACTTTGACACATCACACTTAAAAGTTATAGCCTTTAACATTGAAGATACAACAGAATTAACTTTATAAAAGATGTATAAATTGAATGCATTAAACTTTGAACATATAAACTGAATTTGGGGTCTTCTCGAACAAGTTAGTAAAAATATTCATTAGTTAAGTATTGGAGTTGATAAGCTAAATATTAATTTTCTTGGATAACAATTTAATTTTCAAAAAAACAATTCATGTGATGAACTTCAAAAAATTACAGAATTTCATAGTACACGCTTATCACATTAATCTAATCTTTTTGTTTACACGTTTAATTTGATAAATTAAGGAAGAGAAAAACCAAGAAAGAATATAAAATGAAAAATAAATTTCTTTTATTTTCTGATTCATTCAAGAAAAAAAAAATTTATCTCCTAAAGGAAAGTGAAAAAAATTTCAGAATTCAATCTTTTTAATAATAACTTTTCTTTACATTTAGTCTTTAAATTGGTTGATGTAAGCAAACATACCATGCCTAAATAACAAATTAGAATTGGATAAAATTACCAAAACTCGTACACTACAATAGACATAATATTATTTTTTTCATTAGTATCTAAATCTAAATAAAAATAAATTCGGAAAACTAGATCGGATCAGTCATTCACTTCGGCCCAAAGTTAAAAACTCATCCACTTCGGCCCAAAGTTAAAAACTCATCCACTTTGGCCCAAATTGAAATTACCTTCTCAAACACGCAGGCCACCCACATACGGAAAACACAAAACCCGGGATTCAAAAATCTCCCTCCAAAACGAAAACTCATTCTGCCACGTCATGGATCCGTGCAATGTAAATCCAACCAATCAGCTTCCATCCACTATTCCTATATAAACCGCTCCTTTCTACAAGCCATATCATTCATATTTCACATTCTCTGTCTTGTGTCCTATTGAACTGAATTTCATCAACCCTTCTCTAAGAAATCCATGGCCAAGGGCGAGAAGAAACCCGCAGAGAAAAAGCCTGCAGAGAAGGCTCCAGCAGAGAAAACGAAGGCTGAGAAGAAGATTCCAAAAGATGCTACCTCCGGAGACAAGAAGAAGAAGAGGAAGGCCAAGAGCGTGGAAACCTACAAGATCTATATCTTCAAGGTCCTCAAGCAGGTTCACCCTGACATTGGGGTCTCCAGCAAGGCAATGGGAATCATGAACAGCTTCATCAATGATATCTTTGAGAAGCTTGCTCAAGAATCATCCAGACTGGCCCGTTACAACAAGAAGCCCACCATCACTTCCCGTGAGATCCAGACCGCTGTTCGTCTTGTCCTTCCCGGTGAGCTTGCCAAGCACGCCGTCTCCGAAGGCACCAAGGCTGTTACAAAATTCACCAGCTCTTGATTGTGTAGCCAATTATTAGGGTTTGAATAGTATCTGTGTGACAAGAATATTCAAGGAAATACAATTAGGTTTTTACTGACTTTACACCTGGTCCTTTTTTTCTTACAGTTACAAATGGCCACAAATTGATAATTATAATGTTTTCTCACTTCTTAGCTATGTGCCATCCTGGTAAAATAGATTCTAAAATCTGAGTATTTTGTGGATTAGTTAAAGGGATTATAGCATTGTATTGAGGATTTCGTTCCAGTTTGGTCTAATTGTCGGATTGTATCTAATTAGCTATTTGAGTTTATTATTTAAGTTATTACTACTGGTTGATTAATCACTGAAGCATAAATTTTAGTTGATTGGAGTAAATTAATAAAAAATTGGATTTGTGGATAATGACATCCTCTTACAGGGAAAGATGTAAACCTTTGAATTTAAAGTCCAAACACCATTCGCCATTGTCGGGGACATCCTTCACCAAGAATAAAGGCCTATGAACATGAACCTTGGGGAATCATTAAGTAGTAACCAAAGTGAAATATGTCTTATACCAAATTTTTTAGTCCTTGTAATGAAATTTAAAGGAATGAGAACTTCGGTTAGAAATGAGATACATTGGGAGATCCTAGAAAAAATATTGTGATTAAGGAAGTAATGAAGTTATAGTCCAAATTGTTAGAATGCTTGTTTGGTAGGTTGGAGGTATCGAGTTTGAATCTTAGCGGGAGTAATTAATTTATGTGTTAGGCTGGTGAGCATTTGAAAATTAAAGCCATTCAGAGAGTGAGGTATGAAGAGTTTTCTTAACGAAGAATGTGAGTGATTTTTTGAAGTTTTGGGAAATATCTTGTGGGAGGAGTTTAAAGTAAAGGAAAAATTATTAGTCTAAACATTTAAATAAGAGGGGCTAACATTTCATTTTGTTTGTTCTTTTATTGGTTTATTTTCTTATTTGTTTTGTCATGGATGTAAATATGGTAAATTTGTTAATAATTATTGGAAAATTGATATTTTGTATATATATGTAGTATAGTTATATAATTAATATGTACGTAAAATCTTAAATAGACACAAGTATATTCTGAATCCTTTTAGTTGTTGTATAGACATGAGTGGATTTTGACTATGTATGTAAGAACTCATCAAATTTTGTAAATATTTGTTTGCATGAGTTTTAGCTCTATGTAAATAAATGACCAATGATCAATGTGTGAGTGACATCACCTCTCACTGATCCAACAAAAACAAGTTGAAATGGGTTTGACCATTAAAATTGGGTTCGGCTGAGCTAATCTCTCAATAATGTGAGTGATATTCTCTCCACCATCTCATCTTCTTTCTATACCTTTTCAATTTTTTTTAAATTCTAATTTATCTTTTTTACTTTTTACTTTTACCAATTTTATTTTTTATATTTAAAATTCTAATTCCAAAATTTTCGCACTTTCACTTTTCCTTTTACTCTCAACAGCAAGCCTACACCCCCACACTATCACTTTCTTTCTTTCTTTTAATTTTCACTTCCGCTAACACAATTTAACAGAAAAAACAAATTTTGCATGGTATAAATTTAAAATATTTATAACTTTGATGAGTTTTGAAGTATTATGATTACATAATATAATCTGTTAAAAATTTCTTTCCCACTACCTTGTCTTAAATAACCAAACTTGAAAATTTATGCTTAAAATTACATTCGTGCTTACAATGGTGCAATGAAAATAGAAGTATGTTTGTTGAGTACAAAATAAAAAGTGAATAAAAGAAAAAATATCTATCAAATTTTCTCTACCATACAGAATTTGCTTTTTTTGTCAAATTTTGTGTTAACGAAAGTGGAAATTAAGAGAAAGAGAGAAAGTGACAGTAGGGGTGGGAACTTGCATAGTGAAAGGGAAAGGGAAAGTGAGAGATGATTGACATTAGGGTTTTAAAAAATAAAAAGTAAAAAAGGTAAATTTAGAATTTAAAAAAAATTGGAGAAATATAGGCATCATTCCAGTAATAGCTTGACAAGTTGATTTGTCCTTTTTTTTTATATTTTCTTATTTTTTAATCATATAATATTTTATGAACTTTTAACTAATTAATTAATGTTTTAATTGTATAAAATTAAAACAACTATTACATTTATATTTTAAATTACTTTTATATCGAGTAATTAAAATTTAATATGTAAATGTTAATAATTTAAGGTACAAAGTTATTCCATGTTTACATATTAAAATATTAATTTTTTAAATTACTTTTTATTTTATTTTTTAATTAAAAAAACCATATCCGTTATATTTCGTCTTTTCCCCTGTTTAGAAAACTAAGAAGATTAAACTATAATGGTTTGACGAACCAAAAATATCAACTGAACGTGTCTTTTTTTGGCTGGCTGGTGGGCTAACCCACATGTCCTCACCCATTTGCCACCCTGTTTGTGGCGATGTGGTGATATAATATTGATAATATGTGATATAATTTTTTACACCAAAAGTTATGTGATACGATCTTGTATAAGAAAAAATACGATCTTTTTCGAGTTTGAATCCTCAATAAACATAACAAAAACAAATCAAAGAATAATGCGGAATAAGATAAAGATGGGGATACAATAATCTGATAGATTGATAAGTTAAACGAATATTCATCACAAAAATGTCGATCTTTGATAAGAACAAAATTCTAATAAAAAACCAAGAGAATCCTCTTTAAAAATATGCAGATACATATGTTATAACTCAAAAATTTCTACACATGTATTTGATATCCTTATATATAGGTACAAATGTTTAAGGCACCTAAGAAATCTTAGAAGAAAACTCAAAGACATTGGACTCAAAAATAAAGAAAACAAAAAAAAAATTGTAATTAAAAGAAAATTACAAATAGTTTAAACTATCTAAATTACTGTATAATTATGTTTCAAGTTGTGATCATCAAGTCCTTAAATTTTAATTTTTATAGGATATCATGAGCTTATAAGAGATTTGTTCTTTCAACGGTTTGCTCCTTGACCTCGTCATAAGTCTTTTGAATTGCAAAGACTCCTCCTCAAATTCTTTTATAAATTAAAAAGATAGTCATCTATCATTATGTTGATTGTGGTTTTCCATCAAATAGTCATAATTTATCACAAGAGCATGTAACAGTATAAAGTGAGAATTGTAGGAGTTATTGTGAGATAATTGTCTTTCTTTTTTTAAAAGAAAATATTTTCTTTTGTTAATTTTGGTAGTTATTTTAGAAGAGTTAGGATATGTTTTTTAATGCGTGATGAATGAAAGATGATATCAAAATTTATAAGCTGTCATACTTTTTGTAAAAGCGTCAGATAATATAAGTTTTAGTATCATCTTAATTGTTCAAAACATGTTGAAATGTAAGACAACCTCCGATGGAAAGTATTTTTTAGATAAAATACATTAAACATGAAATAAAATATAACTATTTTTAACTATCCTATTATTTCACAAAATTATAGTACATGGTTAGGAATCATATAGTTAAAAGTATTACTTTTGTGTATATCTTAAAAAGTATTTTGTTATATTTTTCCGTTTTAATTTTTTTAAGGGTTAAATATGTTTTTGATCCCTTAACTTTTAGTGAAATTTGGAATTAGTCCCTCTTCAAAACTTTGGCCTAATTTAGTCCCCAAACTTTAAAAATGTGTGAATTTAGTCCTTTGAACTAAATTTTGTTAGGTTTATTTGATGTTTCAAGTGCCTTTCATGATAACATTTGAGTTGTTTATACCATTTGACATATTTTTGCTTCAATGTTAACTGAGAAATGCGTTTGAAACATCAAATAAAGTTAACAAAATTTGGTTAAAAGGACTAAATTCACACATTTCTAAAGTTTGGGGACTAAATTAGTCCAAAGTTTTGAAGAGGGACTAATTCCAATTTTCACTAAAAGTTAAGGGATCAAAAACATATTTAACCCTTTTTTTAAACCTAAAATAATTTAAATATAAAAAATATATATGTGGATTAGATAATAATTTCATAATCACATATATAGTAAACAATAGAAAAAAATAGTAAAAATATAAGTTAACAGCTTTCCTAATGAATTAATCCTACTAATAAATTTTGAAAAATTAACAAAAAGAAGAGCAAAATACATCAATATTCTCAAATCAAATTAAATTCTAGTATGTTTATATGTTTTTTTTTATAAACTTCTCATTTATATTTTCGTGGTACGTGCTTTATTTTTAAAATTTGAATATATTAAATTTGTACTCCTGATAAGAAATATAATTTAATAGTGAAAAAATATTTTTAATCGAAACGGCCTCATAAATATTATTGTTATTTATTCTAAAATTAATACATAGGTATATTTATAATATCATAAGAAGCACTTATTTTGGATTTGAAGAACATTGAAAGAAATTATTAAATGGTTTAATGTTTCCATATTTTTGTCCAAAATCTCAAATAGGTCCCTTTCTTTTTTGGCGACGTTTGAGTCATTATTTTTGTAAAATTAAATTAAATAGACTCGTTAAATTGAGAATATTAAAAAATGAAGTATACAGAATTGTCATCCTTCATCTTCTCGGTAACCAAATCACGCTTCCATGACAGTCACGGTAGACAGAATTGCAAATTGCAGGAACCCAATCGCAAGTTCGCCCAACAGTATCACCATTGCGAGACAAAATCAAAACCTGCAAAAATTCTCAAATCAAAAACCAGAAAATCCATAATCATGAAACCCTAACTCGCATAGATGTTCAACCCCAAATTGGCGGACCTTAATCACGAGTTTCTCAACGTCGTCGAACCACCACAACTCCTCCATGTAAGTCACCGTAAACAATGCCTCTCGCACCTTTATCTTCTTCGCATTTCCATGGAAACCTTCGAAACCAAAAACCCAAGATAAAACCTGCAGATTCGCACAACCCATAATCGCCCAAATCAACCACCACAAATTTGCCTCACGATGAACACGAAGTGGAGAGCAAGATGGCAACCGAGTAATTAAAGTGCAGAATGAGATGATCAGTGTGAAGGCAAAGTGGAGAGGAAAGTAAGAAATGGGAAAGAAGAATCAGAGGGTAGCTAATAACTCTCTATTTTTATCCATTTTTCTATGTTGGCAGAGAGCCTTCATCATTTTTGCATCCAACTATTGTAATACGCAATAACATTCTAAACCCTTGTTTGTTGAAGCATAACCTTTGAGACCCACACCCCATAATCTCTTCTTGTTAACTCCATTAGAATAGAAAGAGTTGGGTAAGAAAA